TACATTTCATAGCCGTTCAAAGAGATCTCCATCAGTTAATAAACTAGTGGAGTTTTACTCTAAAATCTGAGATGTTGCATTATCAAGTCATTAAAGGTAAATGCCATTGTCTCCCACCAAGGAGGGGGTCTTTTCTGCTTGGACATATCTCAGGAGCTCTGCAGAAGACAAAATGAGCTGTACTTTGGACTTGAACTGTTTAGCAGACATCTGGGCAAAACTGCAAGGTATCATCTGCAGTTGGTAATTATCCAGTTTTGGTCCTTTAATGGCTCTTGTATTGTTCTTAGCTTGTCTTAGTCCATTCATGCTACTATAACAAAATACCTGAGACTGGGTAATTTATAAAAACCAGAAATTTATTTTCTTACTCTCTGGAGGCTGGAAAGTCCAAGATCAAAGCACCAGCAGGTTTGGTGTCTGGTAAGGGCCTGGTCTCTGCTTCCATTATGGCACCTTGAATGCTGCTTTCTTCACATGGTGGAGGGTGGAAGGACAAAAGGCCCTAGCTAGTTCCCTCCAGCCCCATCCTTTAATACTGTTACATTGGAGATTTAAGTTTCAACATGAATTTTGGAGGGGACACAAACCTTCAAACCATAGCATGGTTCCACCAAAATTTTTTTTTCTTCCAGATGCTTTATGGTTCCTCTTGGAATGAAACAAACTCAGAGACAACATTGCTGATTCTTTTTCAAATAGCTAAATATAGAGACATTGGTGTTTCATTCCTCCTGTGGACATTTGGAGGACGTGATATGATTGGCTTTATTTTGGTTTCAAAGAGCTTCTTTCCAATTCTTCTATTTCCAGGAATGTGTGAATGAAACCAAGTTCTAGAAGGGTTGATGATGAGATGGAAAAGTAGAGGAAAGAATAGGCCACTGAAACATTAGCCCTGAAATCACTTTCTGTTTGGGAAAAACTTGAACTCCAGAGACTGCTTTCTGGCCTCATCATCTCCCTTATCTATTACACAAAGCAAACGCTCTCAGCCTTTTATCTCATCAAGCTTCTTTGTCCTTCCCGTACATTTCAAAGATGACTTTGTTCTCTGCCAACACCAAAACAATAGATCTGAACTCACTTGAATTCCCTTTTTCTGAAGCCTTAAACTGATATGCACATTCATCCTTGCCTCCTTCCTACTTGCCAGGAAAAAAATGTTACTCTAAAACTAGTCCCTTTAACAGTACTCTTACTCGCCACCCTTCTACCTATAGGACTTTGTTCCATCAATTGTCCTCATCCTTTCCTGTATCTTTTTTTTTTTTTTTTTTTTTTGAGACAGAGTCTGGCTCTGTTGCCCTGGCTAGAATGCCGTGGCATCAGCCTAGCTCACAGCAACTTCAAATTCTTGGGCTCAAGAGATCCTCCTGCCTCAGCCTCCCGAGTAGCTGGGACTACAGGCATGCGCCACCATGCCCGGCTAATTTTTTCTATA